CCTTCAGGGTGGATAAAGCTCGCTAGCAGCCTCGCAGCGATGACCTATCCACGTTATCATTTACCCAGAATGCTTTGCGTGTAAATAAAATGGCCCCATCCGTGCAATATTTTTTAAACTTTTAGTTTAAAAATGATAAAAACTGAACATCCTACAGTATTTTTACAGTCTTTATTTTACAGTTAAAATATATATTTATTAAATAAAGTCTAATGTTACAACTAATTATGGATCCCTTTAAGGGAATAAATTAGACATCCTGAAAAACTTCAGTAAAGATATGAATTTGTCTCTTGATGTTCTYGTTTCTCTTCAGAAAGCCCTCCTTCACAAGCAGCAGGCCCAGCCTCTGCTSGAGCTGCCCATGGGCTACAAGGAGAAGGAGATGACCGCAGAGATGATGCAGAAGCGGGAGGAGCGGGCCCGCAAGAGACGCCTGCAGGCCGCCAAGAAAGCAGAGGAGAACAAGAATCAGACRATAGAGAGGCTGACCAAAACCAGCAAGGCCAAGATCAAGAGCCTGAAGGAAAAGAGGTCCAAGCACAGCCAGTGCCCCATGGTTCACTACAGCGACTCGGCTCAGGGAATCACCATCTCGTTCCCCTCGGGGGTCTCTGCTCCAGTCCCCGCACCTCGCTGCCCTGCTCCGGTGGCGCCGGTGAACTGCGGCGTTGGTGGGTGCTCCAACCTTAAAAAGTACTCCTGCTCGAAGACGGGGGTTCCTCTCTGCAGCCTGGAGTGCTACAAGAGAAACCTGCTGCTTGTGCAGAGCACAGCCTGAAGCTCAGAATGTGATGAGTCATGTTTAAGTAAGACACGAGTCGTGAAGAACTTTATGCTTAAATAAGTCCTTTTAAACAATGAGTGTGTGACCTCTCATCAGACTGCTCAGTGGATTTTTTGCTGTCATTTTGCWTTTCTGTGCTACTTCACAATTCAGACACTTTGAAGTGAGGTTCTGTGGAGAAGTTATGAACAGTCAATATCTTACCTGCTTTAGATAGCTGTTTGATGGACCTCAATTTGGTTAAATTCTGACGGACTGACAAGGTAAAGGCTAGCACGGCTAAAAGTGAACCTTCAAGTTTTTGTTGCTGCATTTTTAATTTTACTGTGTGGGAACCTTATAGACTAATAAAACAATTAGCTGTTTAAAAATAATAAAAATCCTTAAATAAAGACCACTGATGCTAGGTTAAAACAGCTCCATTACTCAAAATTTTAATAGTTCATTCAGTCGCTACTTTATTAACTTGTATTGTGCTGTTGTTTTCACGTTGCAGAGGGATTTTTATGGTCTTTAAAACTTGGGGCATATCCCACAAAAACAAAATTTCCGTTGGACTAACTGCAATGAATGAAATCGACATTTGTGAGAAGCTGATGTGAAATTTTCGAAACTCAATGACAGTGGGTTGACCCAATTTATGTATTTTTATTTTACTGTTCTTTAACCAGACATTAGTTTGTCAAAACAGATTTTAACATCTTAAAACAGCTCCAATAATTCAAATTTTTCTTAAGTTCTTATTAATCTACTAAAATACCCAGCAAAACATGATGGAAGAAGCTTATTGCTGCTATTTGCTCCTGCAAATAACCACAAATTTCCATCTATACAACCATGTAATGTGAAATTGAGCACAATGTTAATGTTTATAAAATAGCTTCTGCATCAACAGCTATGAAATGTTTTCACATAATTAGTATTTAAAGACAGCAGAGATCCGTTTTGATCTGAGCCGTTAGCTCGTTAATCCAGCCTATAATCTCTTTAACTCACTGAACGACTCATCTACAACAGTTAAGATATTTTCCATTTGTGTCTCTTTAAACACACCAATTATGTACAACATGAAAAAGATGAGTCTGTAACCCAAATGTCACCCAGTATTTGATTTCCAGTTATGACATTTAATTAAAATAGATGTTTTAGATTTTAAATAACATTTTTTTCCCAATAATGTGCATATGACAGTGCTTGAAGATCAAGTAAAAATACTCTGAAACATTAAAAAGCTGTTGATTTTATTGAGTCCATTCCCATACAAAACTGTACAATATTTAAATTAAGGAACAAAGAATGTTTTTGCTTCGCTGTATATAAATGAAAATATTAATGTGACGCAGTATTTGCTGTCAGGTCTGAAGTTTGTGGTTTAGCTTTGGAAACTTCACAGCAAAGAGCTTTAACCAGCTGGTCGTACAGGAGAGGAGATACTGGTCGAGGCACGAGAAGGATCTGGGTTGAAGCTGAGGTCAGACTGTTGACTTGGCTCAAAGCCTTCGTGACGCTTCGCTGTAATCTGCAGAAAATCCATCCAGAAATCGGAGGTACCTTCCTGTTACATCACCTCCCAGGCAGCTGTAAAGCTCTACGCTCAGATGGCGTCTAAAGAGCCTCAGATTTATTTTCCTGACAGCACGACTGGAACTCTTCGCCTTTCGTGTCCATTTTGACGATGCGTCACAAAGCCAAACCGAAGGAGAGCCTGAAGGCCATCTCAACAGGAATCTCTGGAACGGAGTCGTGAAAACACACGTAGAACTCCTGAGGAACGGGCTCCAGCAACATCCTCCTGGATACGAGATGAAAAGAGAGATGGTTTATCTTAAAACCAAAGGCCTTGAAGTGGAACTCCTGCTACATTAAAGCTTTGGATCCTGCTCTAGTTTCAGATCTGCTTTAACCTGATGCAAACTGGAAAACTTTCAAGRACAAATGATTTTATCGGGTTCAAAGTGTACTTTCTTTCTCAATCTGTTTTGGTTCATTTCAGTCGTAAAACAGATGGAAGAAGTAGATCTTCTGAAAGAAAGCTGAATCTTCTCTCTGCTGCCTTTCACTTCATTGTGTTTTTCTATTTTGTTTTTAAAGAAATGAATAAAGTTTGAAATAAAATAAAAATAAACAAACTCATCCTTTCTAACAGTAATACTAAGGAGAACATACCCTATCACCCAGTACGTCATGGTGGGGGCCGGTTTCTTCTGGTCGGTCCAGTTCTCTGGTTTGCACTGAAACAGAACCCCGTGTTCTTTGACCGGACCCAGACCCCAACCTGCATTCTGAGGCCTGTCTGCTGCGCGGCGGCCCTGCAGGACACAAACAACCGCTCACATGATGCTGTCTACATGCAGAGCAGAAAGAAAACGGCTCGATTTGAGATCCATCTGTTGGATGACGCAGACTGTGGTGCCACTGCTGGTACTCAGTTGAGTTGACTTTTAGACGTCCAGGTTTTAAATCAATTGTAAACTTTACATTTATGATTTAATGCACTAAAATAAAACAAATTTAAAAGGTGGAAAGATAGTAATACATGTCCGGCCCTTGAGCTGTTGACTTGAGTAAATGTGGCCCTCTGATTTATTAATTTGGTTGAACAGTCCTGTAATAATATCTAATAATAAGATGCTTTAAAGCCAGCATTGACCCTAAACTACATCTTCCATAATGCATGTGGATCATTTTTCTCCCACCACCAGGTGGAGGCACACAGCGTTCAAAAGTATCCAGCGAAATTTGCATTTCTGCATTTTCGCTGGCTGCTTGATGTACTGGGAAGTGGGAATTTCCCATTTACAAATTGTAAATTTAAACTGGATCGCCCCTCCAGTGGGAATTTCCTGTCAGGAAGTGGGAGAGTTCAGAATTCAAGACTGCAGCTACTCACCACAAGTCAATGTTGAGTAAAACTCTTTAATTAGTATTTTTGTATTATTTATTTCACATTTAGTCTGTTGTAAACGCAATAATTTTCAGTATTTATAAGAGGACGTGTTAAAATGCTGTTTTTATGCAGGAAATACCACGTAGAGCTCACTTATTGTTTGTTAGCGGGGCTCAGTCACAGCATTTAGATGAGGAATGTAACAAGAAGGGCGAGCATAACACTCACGTAGCCCTCAGTGAAAATGAGTTTGACACTTCTGCTCTAGCAGTATGGAGTATCAACTGTTTACAAAATAAGGTAATTAAATAAAAGCTAACAAGCAGAGAAAGACATAAAAGACRAATTGTTGAAGGAAATAATGATCTCGGCTCCGATCAGAAACCTCCCAAACCATCATCATGGTGGTACTTGGAGAGTTTAATATTTTGTTAAAGGGCCAATATTGTGTGTTTCTCAGGCATATATTTAAATACTATACCATAATAAAGTATCTATGTCACCTTTAGTTGTTATTAAAATGCTGTTTTTATGTTTAAATAGAAAATA